TCCCACACCCCCGAGTGGAAAGAGCAAGAAATCGAGAAACAAGAAACGCAATGGCAAGAAGTCGCCCGTGCGCCCAGAATCCCCCGCTCCATCTCAACCACCACGGCCTACATCGTCAGGCCACTCAGGCGTCCCCGGACCTCCGCCCAACATTAAGTTGATGCGTACACCGCTGGAACAGGTCACTGCTTTGACCCAATGGTTCGAGCAGGAGATGAAGCCGATTTGTGAGGATTACATTGCGAACCCGCCTAGTGACCCAAAGAAGCGGGACTATGAACATAAGAAACTGGGCGAGACGATCCTGGCACAAATCCAGATCAAGGCAGATGGAATCGAGCCAGATGGCGATGAGATGGCCCGCAGTGCACGCAAGGCCCTCATCAAGGATACGCAGGCGACTCTCAACCAGCTGGATGCAGCTGCAAAACTGTAGCAAAGCTTACCAGTTGCCTACTCGGCTCCCCCGCTGTGCATACTTTTGGGGGATTTGAAATTGGGTTACTGACATACGTACGGAGTACGACACACTCCGTACATAGTCATGTACAACATGTATCTACCTCATACCGGGGAACTGTTCTAGCGGTCAAATTTCCGTTTGCTGGGACCCATCCACTCCCTCGGGATGTTTCTTTGCATGGAAGGCATCGGCGTATTTGTGATATATCAACTTTTGCGATTTCCCCAAAGACTAAACCTGTCAGAATGATTTGCCGACATGTATACACACATTTTTTTCTTCTCTTTCTTCCATTTCTTTTATGTAAGTATACGTGGGGGCGAAGTTCAAAGAAATCCATTCGCTGTCTAGATCAATTCATCTCGAGTTGATCAACATGGTTCAGGGGCAACGCACGGCCCAGGCCTACCGTTGCGAGAATCCTCATAATTTTTTATTAAATAGTCTGAAGATTTAGAACGATTATTGATTGATATGTAAAATGGACATATGATGCATGTGTGGTATGCATTAACAAATACCCTATAACATACATCTAGTCCGTAGTACAAAGCCTCTCTCGGACTTGGTCCAGTCTATTTCCAGGACTATTCCTAGTTTGGCTACCTACAACCTTCTCTCTCCTTACACCCTCCCTCTTTTTTTCACCTTCGACGTTCTCTTCTCTTCTCTTCTCTATTCTTGAGCTTAACTCTCATTTCACCGTGCGGTAATCGCATCCTTGTCTCAACCTCCCGGACCCCGCAAGACCTCGAGGTCTTCCACGGGACCAGCCCCTCCAGCACCTGTCTCTTGGAACTGGAAAAATTGGACAAAACCCGTGGAACACCCCCTGCAGTTGTGGTCAACCTGGTGTGTTGATAATTTGCTGCTTTTGGTGTACCCCCTTACACACTCCACTTTCCGACTCTACCTGGAATGGCTTGATCCGACAAACCAATCTCTACGGCAATCTCTACTATTCAACCGGGTTGCAGCTGGACTGGCCTTTTTCATTTGTGAATAATAACCTCTGGAATGGCGGGTGCCGCTACAGCGGCATATTCTGCAGATGCCTTAGCATCGCCCGTGGATGGCTCGCAATGGGATTTCGCGGTGCCACTTGGGAACGAGGTAAGATTATTCCGTGTGGCATTCCAGTGACTGATCTGGTAGCCTAAGAACGTGGAAAAGAAAAAAAAAACGCTGATCCCCTTTTCCCCGCAGGAGAATCACCACTTATCGAAACAGCGCAACTCGCACGACTCGAATTCCATCCCCGCAAAATTTTCTCGACAGCGTAACTCGAACGCCTCACGCAGCTCCTCCGTTTCTCGCACTGTCAACACACACGAATCGCCCTATTTAGCCTCAAACCGAGGACGGAGGGAACCCAGTCTCAACCGACATGGAAGTGAAGTAGGCAGTATGCGAGATGCTTTTGGTCACGAGGCGGCCGGTCATAAAGAGCCCGAGGAGGCCGATGATGACCTTAAATTGTACCTGGACGAAAAGACGAATCAGGAAAAATGGATCCACCGAGACAAGCTGGCAAAGATTGAGAGTGAGGAGCTCCACCAGGCAGCCATTCTCTTCCAGCGACGGATGAGAGGAGAAAGCAAATCGAGTGGGGGACGTGGGAGGAGCCATGATTCACAGCAGAACGCTGCTAATGGGACTGGTACAGCGACATCACCTGCTGCAGAACACTCCGAGCCCTGGCCGAAAATGAGGGAAGAACCCGACAAGCTGGACGTGAATGGCAATGTAGACGACGACGAGCGGGAACATTGGGATCTCCGCCGACCAGAGGAGATTGCTGCAGATGATGCAGCCGCCAGCATCTACCGCCATCCAAGCCTTGGAAAAAGCGCATCCCGAATCCCCGTCTCTACAGTTAGTCCAGTTCCCATACCTGGCGCCATGGGCCGCGATTCTCGCAGTTCACGGAGCCGTGCTGCAACAGATGAAGATGATCGGTCTTCACGCAGCCGCAGAGCTAGTGAACCCATCAACATTGAGCAAGATGCTTCGACTCCTTCTCCAGAAAACCGACCGGGCAGCCGAGGATTCAGCAGTACACAAAACACACCGGGCAGGAAGATAGTCAAGAACACCGGTTCTACCAACCGAAAGACCTCTGCTCCACCCACGAGCAGGAAGGCGAGCACTCCTCGATCTCGTGCTGTATCCGGTAACAACACACAGCGCCCTACCACTCGGTCAGGTGAAAGTCGTCCTACAACAGCCGCTAACCGGCCTGAAGGAGACCCACCGTGGTTGGCAACTATGTATAAGCCCGATCCTCGTCTTCCACCAGACCAGCAGATGATCCCGACTGTCGCCAAAAAGATTATGCAGGAACAGTGGGAGAAGGAAGGCCGGACGCCGAACACATACGACCGCCATTTCGCACCCCTCGCAGTGCACCCATTCGACGCGCCACCTCCTGTAGCCACCAAGGTTGAGCCAGAACAGCAACCTGTCGAGTCACTACAGCTCGAAGAGTTGCCGCCTCCCCCGCCAAAGAGCCCTGAACCACCTCGTCCGAATACGAGTACCGGCTACAGTACCATGCCAAAGGTGCAGGACACACCTCCAATGGGACTGACACCCAACCCTAACCCCAACTGGAACCCTCCAGTTGTCACCGCACAGCAGCTACCAAAGAAAGATAAGAGCTGCGGATGCTGCATTGTGATGTGATGAACTCCACTCTACAACCAACTGTCCAATCTCATCATCCATCTCCCCAACATAACTTTGATATTTGCACATCTGCTTGATTCCCTTCTCTGTTAATTTTATTTTATTTTTTATTTTTTTCCAGCGTCTCCGGCGGGATGGTGTTCTGTCGGTTCTGTTCTGTGACTTTATATCCTGCGATTTAGGGCATTTCTTCGCCTCGAGCTCAATTTCCTTCAGACTGATTTTTAATCTGGTTTTCTTCAACCCCAGAGCATAACTATTCTTTTTTCCCTTCTCATGTATTCATTCCTTGATATTTCCCTTCTCTTTTCTGTGACCTTGCCATTCCTATCGAAGTGGTAGGAGGGAACTCCAAAAGAAATCACTCCAGGGTTGCGGTGGATGGGATGGGAGCGAGGGACTCGCACCTCGCAAGAAGCATAAATTGAGGTGTGCGCCTCTCTCTTGTCTTATACCTGCCTCCTGACTTTCTTGACCATATGGTTTCCTTTCTTTTCTCCAATGTTTTTGGATTTCTCTCCGAAACACTTCTGAAGCCTGTTTTCCATATTCCTAAGCCTTCTTACTAGATATTTTCTCTTTCTTTGGCCCGATCTGCTCATCGGCTCGAGCAGTCAAGTACCTGGATTTGCTCGCATTTTAATGCCAGATATTTGCTTACGGAGCTGCTCAGATATCAGGTTGAATGGATGAATACATACCTGCACATAATTGCTACTTATACTTGTAAACGTGTAGATACCGCGCCAGCCAGTTTATTTGAGATATACTAAATTCTACTTTGTAGCCATCTACATATTACTCAAAAGGGAAAAGAGTCTCGGCCTCGGCGGAGCTCCCTAGCTGACAAATATCACCTGACATCATCGCCGCATTCAATCCCGCAATTTTGACGGAATAGCCAACCAATCCTCTCATCTTTGTGCCTGTACCCCGCCCAATCCTATAAAAAGAGACACTGCCTCTTCTCCTTTCGCCACAAACCGCCCACCATTTCGTCCATCTTCACTCGTCTTTTCGGCTCCTTCGCCGGCCCAAATCCCGCCGCCATGTCCGCCGCAAAGACCCGCGCTCAGTCCCTCATTAATGACAATGCTGTCGTCGTTTTCTCCAAGTCATACTGCCCCTACTGTGACGCTTCCAAGAAGTTGCTCGACAGCTTGAACGCGAAGTACACCACTCTCGAGCTGGATTTGGAGGGTGAGTCTTGGCTCTTTTGCCCTTTGCGTTGCTTCTTGTATTCCTTTCGCAAGAAGCGTGCTTTTTGCACCTATAGTTCTCATACCTGTTTATCTATGTTTTCAAATCAATCGCTAACATGAGTTTTTCTTTCTACCACAGAGGAGGGAGCTGCTATCCAGAGCGCTCTCGCCGAGATCTCAAGCCAGCGCACCGTGCCCAACATCTTCATCAACAAGAAGCACATCGGCGGAAACTCTGACCTCCAGGGCAAGAAGGACCTGAAGGAGCTGCTCAAGGCCGCTGGTGCGATCTAAGCAGTGATGTTATACAAGCAAGAATCTCCCGAGGCCCGAGTCTTGAATATTAACCAAGGTAGTTTCTTATTGCACAGCCTTTTACCTCTCATTTAATTTAGTCTCTTAGACTTGTTTTCTAGGTCTAGTAGCTTTATAAAATGCGGGGAAATATTTCTATGGCTTGGGATTGGAGGGATCGAGAGAGCCCTACCATATTCCAGCGGTAGATGCGTATTGAGTGGAGCATTGCCATGTAGCTCTGGAATATTTTGTAGAGCTAACATAGGGTAGAAAAATGAAACAGCGACTAATTAACGTACAGGTATGTTGATACAAACAAACAAAACCAAATCCATAGCTCTTAAAAAAAATCAGATAACCTTCTGCACAACAGTGCCAAGGGGCCTCTCAACAATGGACATCAATCCTTCGACAATACTCGTCCGGGCCCCCTCGCTTGAAACAGTTTTGCCAGCCAGATAATTCAACCAAACAAGTCGACTAATCCGCTCATCAGCGACACGACCCATCCACTTAACAGGCTCATTAGCTCCAGGCTGGAAAAGCGCATCCAAAGCGCCGTGCGCATCACGCATCAAAACAAGCGTCTGTCCCTTCGGCACCGCCTTCCCCTTGCCCGCACCGAAAACAGCCTTGAAATCATTCATCGCGCTTCCAAAGCTCTCATCCTGGAATTCGCTCGGCTCCGCAGTCTTCCTCGCCTGCGCGCGCGCAGTGATACCACGCACCCAGCCGTCGCGCAGATGCATAAAGTCCGTGTTACGGGTGGGCACAATGCGGAATGCAGTGCGGATGCCGTTATCCTTGAGGATAGCAGACCAGGCGGCGTCGCCGTGCTCCGGGTCAAGGAGAAGATCCTTGAGCTGTTGGCGCTCCGGCGAGACGAGGGAAGTAGCGGCGTCTGCGCCGGCGCCAGAAATAGCAGAGTGGGCATCGGTATTGGGCGGGTGGACTGCTGTGCGTAGCAGGCGCCGTTGTAGCTCGGTTATGTCGGATTTCGCGACGTACAGGCCGACCACGTAAACTTGAACTGAGAGGAAGGAGACGGTGCGGATGCCAAGGCCTAGAAGTTGGTAATCTTCACCTGTGGATGAGGCTATATCGTCGCCTGTTTGTTTGCCTTTTGTTGCCTCAGATGAGGGGAGTCGGATTGTGCTTGGGAAGGTGGGGATTGTGCTTGTTCCTGTTGGCACTTGCTCGAGTCTGTCTTGGCCTTGGATTGTTATTAATGATGGACCGCCGCTGGGGAAACCGACTGGTCCATCCATGCGCATTGCGCCGTTCCTCGGGGGTGGGGAGGTGGCTGCGGTCTTGTCATCTTTTTTGGCTTCTAGTTCGTTAAGTCCGAATAAGTCTAGCTTGATGACGCCATAGAGACCGACTGCGCAGGTGATCATGCCAGCTGCGGAGAGAATCATCTTCCGCTGAGCTTGGGAGGCCTGCTGGAGATCCGCCGCTGCGGAAGCTCGAGAGCGGAGGGGGTTATTGGTTGCATTGGAGCGGAGGGAGGTGGTAGAGAAATTCCGGGAGGAGAGGCGTGTTGTGCGGAGTTGTTGCCAATTGAGGCTTTGGTAGGCCCGCCATGGATTCTGACGAAGAGTGGAGGCCATTTTGAGCTTGGTTCGTCGGATAAGGAATGTCGAGGGCAGGATTAGCGGGTGACGGAGACGGAGTGTGGGGATACACGTGATATGACATGATCTATATAGTATATATCGTCATGTATCAACAGATGATTTTGATTGAATAAGATTGTGTTGTTTTTTTTTGGGACAACTATGATATCTAGATAGCTCATTGACTTTTTCCGGTGCATGGTCAATATTTATTTGACAACGATCTTGTGAGAGCCACCAGTGACTTTAACAGTTGCAGTATTATCCACATAGGCCACTCCTCTCGTCAACTGGTCGCCATCAATGGTAATCGAAGGCTTCTTTGATGCAGTGACATAGGGTAAAGTGATATTTCCAACAGTACCCTTTGGGACCGAGAAAGTCAACGTATATCCATTCGAATTCAACATCCAAGAAGCTTCAAACTTCCCAAGAGGGGTTACAAAGCCAGCTTCGGCAAATTCCAGATCTCCAAATTGCGGTGCAATTTTCCACGTCAATCCTAGTGGCGAGACCACAGAGAGACCGACAACAAACTCTGTCAATGCAGAGGTTGGACCAGAGGACCAGCCATGCGCATGTGAGACATATGATGGATCATAGCCATACCCGCGGTCCATCCGATACCCGAAAGTCCCGTTCTGTAGATAGCCCTCAACCACGGTGCTCTCTGTACCATTTGGGTTGTTGATATACCAGCCCCAACTGCGGCGAATGAGATCCAGTGCACGTGCAGGCTCTTGGGCAATGAAGTGACTTTGGATCTCGAAAGAGGATATGAACGAGGCAATGTTCTCCGGTAACTCAGGAGCTACGGCCCCTATGGGGGTCCAGTTCTTGAGAAGATTTTTTGAAATGCTGGCTGTGCGCTCTTCGTTTACAACACCGAACATAATAGCCATGCTGTTTGCATCTTGCGGATGCAGAGAGGTCTTGGTTGCGTTGTCCTTGAATGCACCGTATGACTCGTCCCAGCAGTAGGTGTTGATTGCTTTTTTGAGATTGGCGGCCTGAAAGCTCCATGTGCTTGATAGATTGGTCGAGTCTCCAGCCCACAAAGAGAGAGTTGATCCTGTCTGTAGGGTATGATAGAGACTAGACTGTGTTAGTAGGAAAGCCTTCTGCATAGTGGATTCACAACATACATCATCTGTGCTTCCGAGTTGTTATAGCCTTGCTGCCATCTCGCCCAGTCTCGTGTGCCTGTTACATTCAAAAGCCCGCTGGGGTAAGTCACCTTTCCATATATATATTTCATGGCGTGCTGGTAACTGGCCCAATTCTCCATCAAGAAGTCTGTGTCGTTGGTGTAAAGAACATATTTATAGGTGCCAATCATAGTCCACATATGGTATGTGTCCGAGTCCTTCTGACTCAATGGAGGCCCAGACTCATCAAATGCGCCTGTTGTCTTGTTCTACAATTCCCAGCAATGTCAGATCTATACCCCAGAAGAACAAGAAGCAGAACTCACCTGAGTGTTGTACATGATCTGTAAAGCGTTCTTTACACTTTCCAAGTCTCCCAGACTCACAAAAGCCGACGGAACAGCAATACCCATATCACCAGGCCAAACTGCACGATCTCGCTTTGCACCATCGACAATGATCGTGTCTCCTGGCCCGAGAGTCCCATTGTTTACCCACCCCGAGGTAACGCCTTTTGTAACACGACCAGTATTTACAGGGACCTCATTCGTCTGAAGAGTATATGCACCGCTATACCAGATGCGATTCAAAAGCTCATCGCTGCAGTGAAAGTACCCCTGATACGCTCGGAGATTCGACCAAGTGGGTTTAAACGCAAGCTCTAAGCTCAAATCATCAATCTGAACACTGGCCGAATCACCTGTGACCAAGAAGACTGTCAAGTACCGAAACCCACCCCGCAGGTATCTGTCCGGCATGACATATGTGCCCTTGCCAGTTGACGAAATATTTGCATACAACGCCCCGTCATGATATAGAGCGCTTGACGAGTCCGACCACTCTCCAATCCAATTTTTAGCTTCTGTAAACGCCAGCCCTAAGGCTCCGCTGCCGATGGAGGTGTAGTCTAGATGGACGATGCCGCCAACTTCAATGCCAAAGTCAAACACGACAAGTGACCCGTTACCGTGCAGTGTTGCTTTGTGTGGATGTGAGGAGTATGTGACAGCGTTGGTTTTCAACTCTGATAAAGTCGAGGCTGGTCGTACTGTCCGGGATGCCGGTGCGAATATGTTCTTTTCCCACGGCCCGCTGAATGCAGTGTCTGTAGGACCGGAGCAAGTGGTATCACGCCAGCAAGTATCTGCAGCAGATAGCGAGAAGAGAGACCAAAGAATCAATACTACACTGTACCAGTGTAGATGTGCCATTGGTGGTTGAATGGAGAGAGATGTTCGTATATCGTAGCAAGATACCCAAAAAGCTATGCAATACAGAGAATGGCAAATATGGCAATAGACAAGCTATGCAACGGTGGAATGTGGAAAACTTCATCGCTACATATATTCGCGATTGGTGGAAGAATCATGCGAAATGAGGTTGCTATTTGCAGGATTTGGGCAAGGATCGGCGTAACAAATGCCCCAGAAGGCTTCATAATCGAAATTCTTACTGCGGATTCCATTCAATCTAGACTTTTCCCCGCATTCAATTTTCTCCGCGATGTCATGTTGCGATGTCCGCTCGGTGTAAAGACCACCGAGGGTAACATGCAACGTCTAAGATACAGAGCTCTATAGCTAGAGGGAGATCAGATATTGTTAGAAATATGAACAGTTGAACAGTCAAGTTGAATTATTGAGTCGAGGTTACTGTGCAATTCTTGGGCATTTCTTCCCTATAGCCGATGACAACGCAATTGATATGAGCTAGTCCAACAATCTGTAGTTGGATTGGAGAAGTATACAGGGCTACATCGTTGAACGTTCTTATCCCAAGACATTATGTCAAGGGCTAATATTATTTGAAGCTGAATGGATTGTAGTCAACATACAATTTATGCTATACATCGGATAAAGGTCAAGCCCCGCCCCACCTGTATGACCTAAGACTACTTCCACCTGGGCTTTGCTTCTTACCATTTCATCTCTACAATGTCGGAAATAGTCAGACCCGCCTTTGAGGGCCGTGAGCGTCCACTTCTTTCTTATGGCATCGATTTCCCCGCAGCTATAGTACGCCATCTCGATACATTCCAGGCTTCACGTGTATATGTGATCTGTTCAGGATCATTGGCGCGGAACACCGATGTAATGAACCAGCTGGAGACTGCTCTGGGGCCGGATAAGCTGGTTGGGCATTGGATTGGTATGCGGAGTCACACTTTGTGGTCAGAGGTGCTGCAGATTGCCGAAGAGGTTAGGACTGTACATGCTGATCTGCTCTTGACTGTTGGAGCTGGCAGCTTGACTGATGGTGCTAAGATAATTGCATTAGTTGGTATACATTTTTCTTTCAGACCTTGGTTTGATTTTCATTTTTATGTTCTTCTCGCCTTTTTTTATTCCCTGGAAGATCATACACATATAATTATTCTCAGCCTAACATTTTTATCAGGTCCTTGCAAACCAAGTCAGCACACCCGAGGAGCTTGAGACCCTTGCAGAAGGCCCCAAAAAGCGATTCGAGATCAAAGCACCAACTGTCCCGATCATTTCTGTGCCAACATCTCTCTCCGCCGGTGAATACTCCAACTTTGCTGGCGGTACGGAAGACCGCTCAAAGCGCAAATACAGCTTCCAGCACCCAATTCACGGACCAGAGCTGGTTATTCTTGACCCGGAGCTGGCGAAAACGACCCCCGATTCAATCTGGCTCAGTACAGGCGTGCGCGCAATTGATCATTGTGTCGAAAATCTGTGCTCTATGTCAGGTACGACAGCAACATCGGATAAACTGGCTCAGCGTGCACTGGGATTGTTGGTTCCTGGTCTCTTGCGCTGTAAGAAGGACCGATCAGACCGTGATGCGCATCTACAGTGCCAGCTTGGATCAGTGGATGCTATGGCGGCTTGTACCAGCGGGTTGATTGAATTGGGCGCCAGTCATGGGATTGGACATCAGGTATGCGACCGTTTTCCTTTCTGTACCTTCCAAGACAACCACAGGCGCATCAATGTGTCTGGCTAACATTTTTTATAGCTTGGTCCATTGGGCGTTGGCCACGGTGAGACAAGTTGTATCTTGCTCCCAGCTGTGTGTAAGTTCAATGCTAAGTACAACGCCAACCGCGAAAAACAAGCTAGTGTGCGCCAATTTCTGATCCAAGATCCGGTCGTGCTGGAGGTGCTACGTGCCCGTTCGGTCAACGTAGAAGCATCCGACTTGGGTGATATCTTGGATGCTATCATCCACGAATTGGGAATGCCTCGATCCTTGAGCGATGTCAAAGTAGGACGGGACCAGTTGGATGCACTGGCGGAGAATAGCCTACATGACCGTTGGTGCAAGACAAACCCAGTGCCACTGAAGGGGAAGTCTCAGGTATTGGAGATCTTGGAGATGGTAGTTTAAGCGTTAGGAGGCATAAGATAAACATATCTGATTCTATTGCTCTTTCTCTATTCCAGTAACTATTCCCGGCTCCTAAATTATCCTACTAGTTCAGTTCATTCCAATGCCAAGTTGGGATTGCCCCCACATTTCATAGAGCACATCTGATCGGTAGATATAAGTGAACCAGACTCACTATTCAAAGAAAACAATAATGGTCCTAAGCATAGAAAATAGAGATGTTCATTCAAGTTTTAATCAAGTTCCCAATTTCTAACTACTAGTTTTGGTAACGCTCTATATATCTCCATCAGACATCCTAACCACCTAGGGCACCTTTCACCCCAAATGCATTATACATGCCCACCATTCTCTAATCTCTGACTAAAATTGCAATTATATACTTTGGGAGCTTCTCCCAATTGATTGATAAGCAGGACCCCCACCACTTGGTGGACACCCCACCCGTGGACATTTTATGTTGTACATAAGCTCACGCCGTCTCTAGGGCTACACGCTACACTATCAACTTCTTCACTTCTCACAGCAAACCTATACAATGGGGTCTCTTTCTAAGAATATCCTCATATTTGGCGCAACGGGTAATATCGGCTCATTCATTCTGGATGCCATCCTGCCCGAACGCTCCCAATTCGGCCGCATCGCCATATTTACTTCCCCGCACACAGCCGAAACCAAAACCTCGCAGCTGAACAAGCTGAAAGAGCAAGGCGTGGAGATAATTGTGGGTAATGTCGAAGATGAAAATGCCGTGAAAGCAGCATACGAAGGTAGGAAACCCTTTCTTCATACTATGCCATCCATGCATAATGACACAATGATCTCAAATATCAAACCGCCCAAATCACCAAACCAAAGGCTAATCATCAAGCTAAACAGGAATCGACACTGTGATTTCAGCACTAGGCCGCAATACCCTGGCCCAACAGATCCCCCTTATCCGACTTGCAGCCGCCAGCTCGACTGTGAAATGGTTCCTGCCCTCCGAGTACGGCACAGATATCAAGTACGGGCCGGCTTCGGCGAACGAGAAGCCACACCAGCAGAAGCTAAAGGTGCGTGCGTATCTTGAGAATGAGATCTCACGCGACGATCTCGCCTATTCCTATGTAGTCACTGGCCCCTTTGCGGAGATGTATCTTAATCTCATGCCTGGGATGGAGGCAGCTGGTGGGTGGGATGTTAAAGGGCGGAAGGCTCTTTTGTTGGGTGAGAAGGGGAATGGAGATGTTAGTTTGACAACGATGAAAGAGTAAGATTTCTTTTCCTTTTTCACTTTTGGCATTTATCTTGTTGGGATGAACGGACTATTGATTGACTATTCCGATAGTGTTGGGGTTCTTGTCCTGAACACTCTGCTTCACGCTACGGCTGAGACGCAAAACGCTCCCTTGTGTGTCAATTCGTTTACCACGAGCCCCGACCAGATCCAGGCGGAATTTGAGCGCCAGCTTGGAGGTCAGCCGTGGGATGTGTCTCGCACATCGTTGGTGAAGTTGCGCGAGGCGGAGGCTGCGGCGTGGGAGGCTGGGAATCCAGCGGCTACTGTGTTCACTTTGCGTCGGATTTGGGGTGAAGGAGGGACACTGTATGCCAAGCGAGCCAACGGGTTGATTGGGGAGCCGAAGGTCATGGGGCTGGAGGAGGTGGTTGCGAATGAAATCCAGAGGGTATCGAGGTTGTAGATAGCGTGGTTCGATTTTGTTTTTACATAGCCATATCCATAGCAAAGGCCGGCATTTCATCTACATGAACATCGCGCACACTGTGGGATCCAACGTCCAAAGCTTTATGGCATTCGTACGTAGGAGGTAAGAATTAAAGAAACGTGTCGGGGGTTCAGGTAACTTCAGATTTCACATGACCGAGGGGAATGATTTGGGAAATAATAAAAAAGGGGATAAAGCTCTGCCGGATATAAAACAAGATGTCTGAGCTTTATTGGAAGAACTTGCGCACTCTTTCCTGGCTGGCCGGGTCCACAGAAGCCAGAATCTGGTCTGCATTTGCGCCGGTCGCTGCCACCAGCTGCTTGGCGGATGTGGCCACCCGGGCAGCGGTCTGGCCCTGCAGGGTAGCCGCCTCGAGTGCCTGCACGATGAAACCGAAGACACGGTCAGACTTGGCAAAGACAGCCGGGTTTTGCCTAGTGGTAAAATATTAGCATGAGTATGGAAGGGATTGATGAAGAAAACATACTGGTCAATCAACTGTGCAATGAATGAATAGGCATAGGGAGCAGCCTCCTCGTCGTAGGTAATGGGCAAAGTCTCGATCCAGTTGGTCACGACCTCCTGGGGAGCCTGAACCTTAGATGGGTTGTAGTGCAGGATCTTGGCAATACTGGCAGATGCATTCTCGGTCGCGAACACATTCTCCTCTGTGCGGGATTGCGCATGCTGTGTAACCTGGAACAAGCTGGGGAGGCTGGCTGCCACAAAGTCGCTCCAGGCGGCACCGCCCTTCTGCGCAGCCACACCCACTCCGTACGCCGCTGCCTGACGGTTGGCAGCATTCTCATCTCGCAAACCGGAAGCCAAGGGCTGCATGATGTGGTCCTTGAATGCCCACGATTCTTCGCCGCAGAATTCAAGCACGTCATCCATGATGCAAAGAGCCCACTGCCGTTGTGTCGGGTCTTGGCTTGTGATGAAAGCGTCGTAGAATGGAATCAATTGCTGCCAGGTTGGCAGGAACGAGTTGCCCTGGTTCTTAAAGATGGTGTGGAAAGCCTTGTTCATATCGCTCAATAGGTTTTGGTCGTCCTCCACGGCGTACTCAAAGTCCAAGTTCTCCTCGTCACCATCTTCGAGCTCGGCCTGCTCCTCCAAACGTTGCTTCACGCGCATCTGGTAGTCTTCAAGGGTCGACTTCGCCGATTCAATGAACGCCTGCAAGTGCTGGGGGGTGAGTGAATTTCTGCCAACAACCTCTACTGACTCGTAGAAGCACTGGTACATCTCAGCTAGCGTGTCAACTGTCGGCTCAGCGCTCAGAACCTCGATGATCTTCTCTGCGACCTTGTTCCACATTTCAGCGAATCCCGGGGACTGGCCACCGTGTGACTTCTTGTAGGAGTTCAGCAGCTGAGGGATCAGCTTGGCAGCTGACACTCGAACAGGGTCGTGGAAGAAAAAGGCGAGACCAGGGACAGCGATCTTCTCCATGGTTTCCAGGACGTAAGGCTCGAAATTCTCCTCGAGAATTTGGGCGTAAATTGTGATCAATTCGATAGCAGTATTCTTGTCTTCAAGAGCACTAGTCTTGATACCGATAATCTTGCCCTTGAGCGGCACCAGTTCCCAGCCATCATCCTGCTCAACTTGCTCGATCTGGTCCTCGTCATCCAGCAGCTGAATATCGGCCTTGGCGGCAGCGACGGTTAGAAGAGGAGGCATAACGCCGGGGAGATAAGGGACGAAGTCTTGGCCTAGAACGCGGCACATGCGGCCCCAGCAGTGAAGGAGGTATTGTGACTGTGGGTCGTCGGCGTCGACGATGTTTTGTTGAATGTTGCCGAGAATCTGCACGAGGTTCAGGGCATCTTGACCCATCTTCTCCTTGCCAACGGCTAATGCGATCAGAGTAGCACACTCCATGGCCTTGGCACGAAGAAGGCGGTACTCCTTACCCTGTTCCTCCTTGAGGACATTGAGCAAAAGAGGCATCAGAGTAGTATAGTACTGATCGAAAGCGGCCTCGGCGGAATCGGCAATGGTGGCAATGGTAGACAGTGCCTGCTCCTGCAGATAACGCTTAGGACTGCGCAAGAGATCCAAGAGATGGCTGAGCAGGTTTCCGAGGTATGGCTCCAAGGTGCTGCGCTCCGCCTCCTCACAGAAGTTGACGAGAGCGGCAGCAGCGTGGGACTGCACACGCGGCTCGGTAGAGGCGAGAACGGGAATAATGTTAGTGAGGACAATTTCGTGGTACTTCTCCTGCATGGTACCGGCAAAGTCGGTACTCATCTGACCAAGAGCATTGCAGCCTGCATAGCGGACTCGGGGGTGGGCGTCTTGGAGGGCAGGAACAACAAGTGCAAGAACTTGGTCCAGCTCACCGACCATCAGCTCGCGACAACCCTCGGAGATGGCGGAGATGGCCATCAAAGCAGCATGGCGATCGCGCCAGTTAGTAGACGACATCATGCGAGGAATCCAAGAGAATGCGGGTTGAAGGATGGACTGTCCACCCAGTTTGTTGGCGAGACGATCCATGCATTGCTCACCAGCGATGTGGTTGAGGTCGTTCTCTTCAGGCTCAAGCTGTTACTAGTCAGTGGCACGTCAACTGTAACGACAAAAATGCAAACACTGACATCTTCAGACGCGTTCCATTCCTCCGCATCGTCGTCATCCGCACCGACATCAGTCATCAGACTCAGACACTGTGTGACCATTTCCTGTGCGAACTCCGGCTCCTTCTTACACATATTGGGGGCGTAATCGGCAAAGGTGGCCATCAATTCGAGTGCGTTCTGGCGCACCTGGTCGCTGAGCTCCTTGTCGCCAATGACGCTGATGCTGAATTTAACCAAGTTGCTGAACATGGCCTTGAACATTTTCGGGCTGACTTCAGCCAATTCGATCAAGGCGAGCAGTGCCGAAGACAGCTCCTCGCTCTCAGAGGCTTCCTTGAGAGGAGGAAGGATGTTGAGAAGGTCTGGCATGAGGCCAAAGAATTTAGGCTGGGACTTTTTGGAGATCGACCGGAACAACGAAGCGAAGGCTTCCATAGCGGAAATCCGCACCTAATGAAATGGTTAAAATTGAGCTCAAAGGTAAAGCCACATGTCGACATACGGAGATATTATCGTCCTTGAAACCCTTGGTGAAAACCTCCACGACAGCATCTTCGTGCTGCTTCTCAATGATCCCGGGGGTGGTCGTGAACACGCGGTATGCGGTTTCCCGAAGACCCGAGTCAGGGCTTTGGCTTGCCTGGAAGAGAACACCGAGGAGTTCAGGCCACTGTTCGCCTACAAATCACAGGTGAAATCG